AAAGGGGGTGCGGGGATGTGTCGTCTCGCCGTAGAAGATGCCTGTTGTGTAGGTGGTGCAAGATTTCCTCCATCCACCGTAGTATGCTCGAGAATACTCCCCTATATAGTCCCCTGTATACCCACCCCCGCCCCCTCTAAGGAGTTTAGACCCTAAACATTCAAACCCTAAGCAATATGACTACTTGGGTGGGTGTCAAAGTTATGGTCCCTTTTTTAAATCCCTATCATAATACGGCACCTGATATTTAGGGTAATCAAAAAGGGACCATCATTTTTGACAACCATCTACTTTCTATACCCCCTCTCACCCCTGTTTCATTGTAGTTTCCATTTTCTTTTCCATTATCCCTATATAACCCCTATATAACCGCAATATATACCTTCTAATTCGTATCCCCTTTTAAGGCGTTTAGACTCTACAAGCAGCTCAGATGAAGCGAGGCTGTGGCCAAGGTCTTGCGCAGCACTTTCTGCGATCTGCAAGGCCTCTTAGGGATTTAGGGTTTCAGGGTTTAGGGTTCTAGGTTTTGGGGTTCTAGGGTTTCAGGGTTCATGGTTTAGGGCATGGACAGGGACAGGATCTATTGTCCCTCTTAAGTCGATAGAATAGGGAATGGCCCAATGTCACAAGATCCCCATATACCCCACATTCTATCTACTTAACGTTGACCATACTTCCATGCGCTCATGGAGAGCCCAGCCTCCAATGCCTCTGACTCTCGCTTGTCAGTCTCCAGCCTGGCAGGGGCTGCATCGCACACTACCAGAACATACAAGTTTATGTCGTGAGTAAGCGGATATCTGAGAGTCAGGGCCAGTTTGCCAGCTGACAGCTGCTTTTGATAAGTAGAACCTTAGCGGTGGTTTCCATTATCCCAGTATATGTCCTACATAACCCCTATAATCCCTATAGTTTCCATTTTCTTTTCCATTATCCCCCCATATAACCCCAATATAAACCCCTGCCCCTAGTAAGCCCTATAGAATCCCTATAAACCCTAATAGTTTCCATTTTATTTTCCATTATCCCTATATAACCCGAATATAACCCCAATATAACCCGTGGTAGCTGGCCGTTGGTGTTGTTGCGCTCGGTCTTTCTGAGCGCACGGCTGGCTTCAGTGGCTCTTCATGCTGAAGGACGGACACCACAGCCTCTTAGATTCAAGCTGCGTGTCTCTGCATAACTTTGTCAATCCTCCTACTGGGGGTTAGAAGGGAATGAGGTAATAACTTCTGTAGGAATTTTATGAGCCATCGTCTAAACTCCTTGTATCCCCCTCGGTGACCCCTATACTCGCCCCTTATGTAGTCCCCCTATATAACCCCCCTTTAACGAGTTCGGACTAAACCCTAAACCCATAGGAGTATGTCCCTCACGCCCTCCTAAACCCTAAACCCTATATAACCCCTATAATACAATAGTTCCCAATTTTATTTTCCATTATCCCAATATAATCCCTAAACCCTAAACTACCCCAATATACCATAGTAGTTTTATAACCCCAACATACTATAGCAAACTGTATTCAGGTTTATTCCCCCCAGTAAATCCTGGACAAAACTCCGCAGCCTGCAGAGTTTGCACAGCATCCTCTTGCCTGAAGCACAAGGCCACATTTAAGGTACCAAGCCCCCAAATTTTGGGGTCCCTTTAAAGAGGATTTAGGGGTTATCTAGGGGATTATGGGGATATATAGGGTTTCCCAAAATTCGGGGTACCTTTTTTTGGGGTTCCCACAATACGGATTATTGTATTTTTGGGTCTGTATTGAGGGGGTTTCCGTATCTTGGGAAACTACCAGAAGCTGAGTGCTCGCCTGTTGGCCGATCGTTCAGCTTCCGCGACTTGCAGCCTGCCCACAGCCAGCTGGCAGTTGTCAACCAAATATTTACAGCAGAATTTACAGTGGATTCTACCGAGTATCCTAAAGGCCCCAATTCCTCTTCTGAGTTACAAGAGCCTTACAATCTGCCGTAAATTCGATGTAGGGTTTCCATGAAGTTGTGCCTGTGTAGAGCATTGCCAAGCTTGCATCCAGGCATGTTGCGCATTTCTTGCTTGGCATTACGCACCCGTCAAACAAAGGTAAATGGTAGTTTCCCTAAATAGGGAGACCCCAATGTAGACCCCCAAATACTATAATCCTTATTATAGGGACCCCCAAAATGGTACCCCTAATTTTGGGAAAGTCCCAAATCTAGATCTGCCTGTTTGGCAAGCAAGGAAGAGTCACCTCCCCAACGTTGGCACGGGGGGGCAATGGCGGAGGAGGCTCATTTTCAAGCCTTTTGGGCTCTTGAAATCTCCGCAACAGTGACTCCCCGCAGCTAAGAGCTTTAGGCGGAGGAATGAATTTTAAAAAAGGGTGAGCCCGTGAAGCTGAGAATCCTCTGCCGCCATCCCCACATTACAGGACAGCTGGCGCCTTTTCAAAAATCACAGGGTGTCTTTGAAAGCTTGTCAACGCTCATCATGCCTGTACCATGTAGCAGCAGGAGGAGCTGGCTGAGAGCCACTGGAGATCTTCTATCGTGGCAAAGAGGTTGCGACCTCATCCCTGTTCCAACACTCTTGTCACTGCTCCGAGAACCATCTTTTTCGTTTACCACCATGTCTGAACCTGTTGGCAGCCCATTCTCTTTCAAATCTGTCGATGACTCTTGGATCTAGGCAGCGCTCGGTACCAAGAGCGGCCTCACACGCAGCGTAGGCTCCGCTGTCTTGCCGTCGATGTGATCATGCACCTGCATGTCACCAAGGCGTGTGCGCCTGCTCTCAGCTACGAGCATCTACACCAGCAACATTCCCTGTTGACGCCAATGCCTGCCATGCTTCAGAAAGATGATCGATGGCTTTGTCGTAATCGCCTTTCTGCGAGGCAACCTGTCAGCTAGCTTCGCATGCAGCAATGGTGCCTGCGGGAAAGTTGGTTAGGTAAGCAGTTGGTACGCACACGAGAGCTCACCTGGCCGAGGAGGAGGTGTACATGCCTGCAACAGCGATCAGGCTTCAGGCTTGCCTCATTTTGTCAAAAGGAGCGCAAGCGGTTGGGCCCTGTGCGCTGCTTCTTGATCCAGTTCTCCTCGTGTTTCCCGGCCAAGGCGAGCAGCTTCTAGCAAGATCTTTTCTGCGGCCTGGCAAAGCTGACAAAGCAGCTGCTTTTGGGACTGGGCACTGAAATCATCTCCTGCGCCTCCAACTGCCCTTGTGCCAAGTAGACAGATCCCTCTGCCACAAGAAGGTCTGCCTGTACGAAGTCTGACTGTTTTCTATCCTTTTCTGAAAGCATTGACAACTAGCAAGCCAAATTGCGACGAATTGGGAAGTGCATCAATTTTACCACAAGCAGCTTAATGCATGTTGTGCCTGCAGGCGCTGATGCTGGCGGTCATCGTAGATGCCTCCGTGGCATACCTCCAGACTAACCCCGCCAAGTCAAGCCGAATGCTCACAACTCATGCAAAGGAACTTGGGCAGCGACATCGCGTGCCTGTGCTAGATGGTCTCTGGCCTGGGAAAAGATTTCTTCCAGAATTCCCTGGTCCCAGGCACTCTCACACTCCAAGACGAGCGCCTGTGCAAAGTAGCCGCCCTGTCCATAGGCCTATTCAGGCACCAGCAAAAGAAGTTGGGAGCTGCAGCATTTTGCCCAGTCATGGCCTCAGCGAGGGCAGCCTGAGCCTGGATGAGAGGCTGCAGCGGGAACTGATGCAAATTGGCCAGGACCTGAGCTTCGTTTCATTGTCATGCGTGGGAGGCGCGATGCACGACCGAGCTGTGGCCCCGTCTCGCTGAAGGCTCAACTGCTTGATACGGCACCTCAGCCAGTCAGTTATCAGCTATGTGTGATGGCATTTTCAGAACGTCAGCTCACCACCACATGCTTTCGACCCAACGGTACTAGGCAAGTTGCTCAATCACAGCATCTGTGTCACCTTGAGATGTCAGCTCCTTGACCTGAATCAAGCATCTGGGTTTGATAATGTTCGCCCGTGACAGGGGGCCCAAGTCAGTTCTGCAGCCTTGTCCGAAAGAATGTTGAGCTGCTCCAAGGGGTGCAGGCCTCAGGGTGCAATGGACGTCTCTTTGCCGCAACTATCTAGCAATGCGGAAATCCTGACAAGACTTCGGACATCTTGGGACTCCAACTCTCATCAACCAACTCTGCAGCCGCTGACTCGAAGGGTTTACATCGCATGACCCTGGGGCGTACGCGTTGAGCAGGATTATGCTGGATGCTGTGTTGCTAGCTGCTTACCAAATTTCTCTGGCATGTAGCGGGCTGTGGCCATGTGACCTACTTTTCTATTTCGCGTTGGATGCAAATTGGTGCTGCGCATGATGATATTGTGTCCCTCTCCTGTGGTGTTAGCCAATCATTGCAAGTCACAGGCGCCACAGCGCTGTGGGATTCAAATCCCCTGAAGGGAAGCACCAACACTTTTGAGTCAGTTGACCTCCACTTCATCTTCTCATGGCCTGTCAGCAGGAACAACGACAACATCTCTTTATGTTGGTCCGACAAAACCAGTTTGAAGTGTCTGCTGCCCCGTAGTGAGCGGGAAAGATGGAGATCCAGCCAAGCAGCTGCTTCTTCCACTAGTGAGACAGCGTGCCTTCCTTTTTTTTCTGGGCCCTTGCACGTGACGCCTTTTGGTGTTCAGCAAGCATTTGGCCAAAAGTGCAGACAGACCAGGCTGGGGTCTTGAGTTTCGTGTGAAGGAGGGCTGCAGAGATTGAATGAAACATCGACAGTTGGATTCGCGCCCGTCTTCAACTCCACCTGATCAGGGAGACCCAGGATGTTGCCGCGCAAGACGCTTAGCTGTCGTGGCCAGTCTGACAGCCAGGAGCCAGGGCGTCAAAGTGTCACCTGGGAGCTTTGCTGGGATATATAGGGGTTCCATTGGGATAATGGAAAAGAAAATGGAAACTACTATAGAGTATATTGGGGGTTTATAGGGATAATGGAAAAGAAAATGGAAGCTACCATAGTATAATGGGATGTGCAGAACAAGCACATCAAAAAGACAGGTTACTGTATGCTACTGTAGCTCCTCTTTCTTTCAGTCAGCATTGGTTCGGCGCATCTGGAACTGACGGCATGCCAAGCGGCAGCATTCACGTAGAAGTTTGGCTCTTTGTTCTTGTTCTGCGGCATCAGCAACGCATCCTCGGCATGAACTGGAGCTGGCAATGCAATCCCAACAACAATCTTTGCATTTCTCGGCGTGCGGCTCGATTACCATTCGCCATGGCACTCATCCTTTGGAGCTCCTGCATTATCATCAGATGGTCTGTTTGCATGTGCTGTTGATTGAACTCATGGCATTCCATTGGTTCTGGAGGTAGGACGGCAGTCAGTCTTGAAGTTGAAGTTCACGCTGCATGATTTTGCATGATCATGAGTTCGCGTCCTGAATGCCTTGAATTCCACCAAACATCCTGGCACAATCACTGTGGAAGCCAGGGAAACATGATGCGCTTGGGTGCCGAACTCTCGAAAAAAAACCATGTTTTTGGATGCACCGGGACTGGGATTCAGGGTTTTGGGTCCACACTGTCCCGTGCCGAACAAGGTGCGTGCCTGTTGAAAGCCCCTGAGATGTTTTGTGACTTACTTCGAAGGGCCTTGGGCTTCGCGGTTCTATTGAACATGGTAAGGCCAGGGCTAGAAGATCTAGAAAGCCAACGCAGGAAGCCTGGAAGATCTGGCAAGGTGTGTGCCAACTTGTGCACAAACACGGGCCTCCAATGAACCCCAAAATACTAGAATCCCTATTCTAGGGACCCGTCAAGACGGACCCCACATTTTTGGCAATCACCACGCAGGCAAACCGCAGTAATGTTCCAGTCTCCATTTCATTTTCCGCTTGATTCTCTGTTGTTAGTAACATCACCAATTTCTGGATATCCCTAAGCCCATATCTCCTCCTCCCTCTGCGGAAAGGGAGGTTATATAGTGGAGTATATGGGGGACCACTAGAGAGGATATTAAGGGGGATACACTATGGCACAAATGGCCATAATGTGGGTTCCCTGTTTGGTTGGGACCCCCTTTTTTAGGAAGTGAGCTTCCAGTAATCCCTTCTTTACAAGGACCTTTAGAACAACCCTAAACACTTAGCCCTATACCCTATACATCCCAGATTTCTTTCCCAGGACCTTTAGAACAACCCCCATGTGAGCTATAGTCTAAACTCCTAGTATCCCCCTTAATATCCCCTATAGTAGTCCCCTATATAATCCCCTATACAGCCCCTTAAGGAGTTTAGACGACTATAACTCATGTGAAGTCCTAAGCCCCAAGCTGTGCTGGAAACAACTCGCTGGGCTCACGAGTTCATCTGGGTGATGACGTAGGCCGAAGGGTTTCGGGCCTGGCAATAACATGTAATACTAGTATCAGTAAGAATAATCTCTAAGGGATTTGGAACCCCAGTAGAAATTATAATTTCAGCTAAATATTAGGACTGTTGGTAACAGAAATTACAAATTATTTTCAGGAACCTTGTAGTTATCATCTCCAAGAGGCATGGGCGTTACAACAATACTTGTTAGCAATACCGTACCGCACCGCACAGCTTACCGCACCGAACCAGCTGGGTAGAGAAGGAGCCATACCGTACCGAACCGAACCGCTCCCTGCCTTCACCCACTACACTTCACCCCTACACCTCTTTGCGGCTGGGTTGGGCTGGGCTGGGCCGGGCCAGGCCGACACCCCTGCACCCCGACACCTAGACCCCTGCACCCCTACCCCAAAACCCCCACACCCTCACCCCTACTCCACGCCTACACCCTTACACCTCTACACCCCTGCACCTACACCCCACACCCCTACACCCCTACACCCCTACACCCCGACCCCTACACCTTTACACCCCTACACCACCCCAAACACTTCAACATGTAGACGCTCGCTGGACAGCTGAGATGCGGTTGCAGCTTCCCCACTTCTTGCTGACGCCCAGCTGCTCCTGGGTTGCCTTGTCCTGGGGGGAGGGGCGGGGGGGCGGGGGGGGGGGTTATGGGTTTCGGACATAGCTTCATATGTGATTCCTTTAGGTGTGGTGCATTCTATTTCCCTGCCAGGCCCTAACAAGGACTACATAGGATTTTCATAGGAGCATTTGGGTAGGCTAGGGTTTCGGGGCTTGGATAAGGTGTGTAGGGCCGCCACTTCTTGAACATAGCTAATCTTTTACATCTGAGAACCCTGACTTAAACAATGTCTCCCACAAGAGTTTCCGTAGTATCCTATGCCTGGTCTTCAGACAGTACCACAGAATCCTCGAACAAGCGGAGCTGTATACTTCAAGCAGCTGCAATCCTGACCCTACCCAGTAGCGACAAACCAGCAAGCACACAAACACAACGACATGGGGATTCGAAGAAAGGTTATGACTCATATTCCTTGTTGGGTTGTAGCACCAAGAAACTAAGCATTATATTCAATTAATGACCTAGACTTGTGCGCCCTGACGCGCTGGACATCCCTGTTCAAATCGGACCCCCTGTCCAAATCAGACAGGCCAACAGCAGTGGGCAATGCTAGCTCGACCCAAGTGCCTTGAAGGAACTGAAGCTATGGATCCCTGTTCTTGTTGTTCCGTGCATAGAACTGACCCATGATTCATCTTTGCTACAATCCGGACCCCTCAGACTTTTAACCCCAAACAGCACAGTAGCAGGTTTCACAGTCCACCCCTCAAGCCCTAAACCCCAACAGTTCTACTAGTGTCCATGACTTTTCCATTCCCCCATTCGAAAGCATCATGGGAATAATTACCAACCTCCTTGAGACCCCCACTTTAGGGCCCCCCCCCAATAGGAATTTGTCCTATTGAAGACAATTACTGATCCTTACCACGGGGGTGGGGTTAGGGTTTAGGCTTTACGGTTTAGGTGGCTTGGTAACTTTTTCTACGAAAATGTTGAAAAATGGATCCAGGCGCGTTCAGGAAGGTCTCCACGGCACCGAAGTCGTAGCAAAGAGGAGGCTTCTCGCACTTGATGCGCATGTCGTAGGGATTGTAGCCTGTGCTTCGCAAGATATAAAGGGATTGAAAAGGCAACGGTAACTTCTACGTTATGGGGAACTTACAGGGTCTAGTATACGGTTCCTTCATTCCTTGCTGCGCCGAGGAAAAAGTTGTGGCCTGTTGGGCTGGAGGTTTCTTTGGCAGAGAGGAAAAAAGCTCTAGGCCCATGGACGTGGGCACACCACGAAGACCAAACACAAATTTGAAGCTTTGTTTCCCTAAATCCTATAATGACAAAGAAAATGGAAACTACTATAGTATAATAGGGTACATATTGGGTTTATGTAGGGATAATGGAAAACAAAATGGAAACTACTATAGTATATAAGGCCCTCCTTGGTGAGATTACATAGATCAGACCTCTCGTGGTTGCACGGGTGGAGGCTGCTCCTAGCAAGCGGGTCAGGAACCTCCACACGCCTTCCCTAGGGTTTCGGGTTTAGGGATTTAGTGTGTAGGGTGCAACACTGCGCTGGCACATAACTGTAGTCTCCTTAGACCTAGAATGAGAGTAATATCTTTAATATTTCGCGAGGGTTATACTATATAAGAAACAGTAAAGATAATTTCTAAGGACAGTACAGATAAAGCCTAGACTGTTCTGGCCTGGGTCCCACAATCCAAGCTGAATACAACAAATCAACGAACGGATGATGTGATTATCTTCTATGTGCACGAGGCTCTGTTTGGGTTGGGTCGGCTGAAATCGTTCTCATTTGCCCTGAAGCCTAAGCCCTTAGGTTAGAGTCCGCACATGTATGTGCTTTTCGCCAACGAAGGGCTTCTCTTAAGGTCGTAGGGATATATGGTAGGACACCAAACTCTCTTTTTTGTCTCCCTACTATCATGCAGCCGCTGATATGTTGAGTAACCTCAGAAAGGGTCTTCACAGCCCCCAAGAATCTTGGGTATAAACTCTGATAGAAGCCCCTTTCCACTTCATGTTCGGGCATCTTTTCCACTTGAATGCCTATGTGTATTACCCTAAGCAACGGCTTTACCTGAGCCAAGTACCTGTACAAGCTCGCCCTGAAGCCCTTGGAAGCACGCATCGGCTTCCCAAGATGGACGGCGTGTCTACCTCATGGTACGAAACCTTCGAAACCTTCTATCTGAACAACGACAACAACAACAACAAGCGCCAAACTCTGATACCCGAGGCACTGAGTAAATCCCAAGTGAAGCCAATGTACCTAGAACTTCGAGTTCGGGGTACTGGATATCATAAGTCTACAAGGGTTATGGAAAGATAACATGAGTACTAATCCAGGTTTCTAAAACAAAGTCGCACCTGTCTGCTTGTGGAACTCTTGTTCATGTGCAAACCAGTTCTGCGGCCAGGTCCGTCAGGAAAATCCAAGTATAACAAATAACATAGTCCAACCTGACTTGCTTAGATAGTCATTGGTATATAACTGGGTTGGCCCCTAAAGCCCTTTAAAAAGATACTAGTATATAGTGTCCCTTATTAAAAGCCATTAGGGAAAATGTTAAATATCCCAGGGGCCTACCCAGATAATAGCTGTGGCAATAGCAGGCTGCATGGAGGGATACAGATCAGAATGTTCCCAGAAGCTATTGGGCTGTAAGGGAGAGGCTGCAGTCCATGAATCAAGGCTGGACTAGGTGGGTCATCGTCTTTTAGGGTTTAGGGTTTAGGGTTTAGGGTCCCGCCTTTGAAAAGGTTTAGACGACGGCTCGGATGAAGCCTGAACAAAGAGTTATGTCCCCCCACACCACCCTGCGTCAGAACCCCTAAGACATGGTAGTTTGCCTAGACAGGGGGACCCAATATAAACCCCACCATACTTTTATCCTCATTATGGGGACCTCCAAAAATGTACCCCTAATTTTGGCAAACCCTAAACCCTATATGTCCCGAAATGACCCCTATTAACCCCTTTAAAGGTACCCCTAATTTTGGAAACCCCCCCATAACGGGCTGTGCTTAGCTCCGGGCCGGTCAGCTGGTATGGGATCAGCTCGCCGTAGTTGCACATGGCGTAGGCAGTGGAGCATGCGTTGTCCTTTGACTGGGGCTGGGTTGGGTTTTGAAATTTCAGGGTTTAGGGTTCCTGTAGGTTCAGGAGTGTAGGGGCCGGGCAATCAGCTCCAGTTTTGGATGGTCTTGTGGGTTCGTCAGGCTTTTCATCCAGGACTTCGGTGAATGGCGGCGCGCGCAGGATAAACCTACATGACGGGTAAGCGGGTCAGCACATGGTAGTTGCCCTCAGTAGGGGCACCTCAATATAGACCCCAAAATGAGATAGCCCTTATTAAGGGGGCCCTGAATGGTATCCCTAATCTAGAGAAACCCCTGAGACCACTTTCACTTACAATTAATTTATATATACACTCTATTATAATAGTTTCCATTTTCTTTTCCATTATCCCAATGTAGCCCTGATATTACCCTAATGGGCCCCCATTTGTCTAACCTGTCAAGGAGAAAGTTCACAAGTCTCACCTTTCTTGCTTGCTGAACCCTCAAGCCTCAGCCCTGGTACTACTGTCCCGCTTAAGTAGATAGAATATGGGGTATATGGGGATCTTTTTATACATATACCCAAAGCCATATTCTATCTACTTAAGGGGGACTATACTATTTTACTGTTACTGTTGTTTGTACTACCTTCATGTGATGTCTGGCTTTTCAATTAGTAATGGGACCCTGGATGTTCTTTCTTGTTTCGAGTTCAGTCCTTCTAGGTGTAGGAAAGATCGACTAAGACCGCCCATCCGGGTCTTGAAGCAAGGTTTACATCTGCACTGGCAAGATGCGGTAGTTTCCCTAAATAGGGGGACCGTGACCCCAATATAGTCCCCAAAACCCTTTTAAACCTTATTATACGCAGCGCCCCACAAGGTACCCTGATTTTAGGAATGCCCCATACAATGCTTCCACGTCGCATCCCCAGCGTTGCAGGATGCGATCTGCTTCACGCACGGGACGCTTGCGGCCTTCATGGCCAAAGTTCCCACGCGGCCGATGACACCTCGAGCTCAAGGATTGAATTTGGGGTTCTTAGGCTAGGTTCCCCAGTAACCCATCAATAATAAGGGTACCCTTTTCTTCCTACTGTTCAGTTTTGATAAGGAGATCCAAAATAAAGAGGGCAAAAGGGTACTACTGGGGTACCTAGTAGGGTGCATCTGGGAAAGTGGCAGTTTGCAATGCTTTTGATGGTATGAATGCAGGTATGAGAGGTTCAGGCTTCAGTATAGTATCTAAGGTTCAAGAGAGGCCTCAGGATGTATCTTAAGAATCAGACGGCTCGTCGTGCAAGGCGCTTGCGACTTCTACCTGGTTTCTTACTGGAGGAAATGCCTAAAAACCTCCCTGAGTTGGGTTCGCGTTGACGCAGGAAGCTCCAGTTGTTTGCTTAGGATCTGCCAGGGCTTTAGATTGAATACAAACGTAGCATTACTCAAAACAGGGGTCCCTTGTGTAAAGTATATGCATTCAAATACATGTGCGTACTGTCCCCAGGGACCATCCTTAAAGGGACCCCTGCCTTTGACAAAATGCTATGTCAAGAACAGCGCGCCTTTCTCCAGAGTTCCGCCCTCCGACTTGCCGCCATCATAGGCCATGTCGGCATACCACTTGTACTGCTCCTGCCACAAAAATTTGCACGTTCCTTTTTCAGGGATAGACTGCGGCCCCACTTGCTCGTTCTTCGTAGGGATTACAGGACAGACTCCCCCCTCAGTAAATGCCGTGTTCTTTTCCACTCCTCCATTCCTTACTGACAACCAGTAAGCAAATCCGGTACATCCTCAACCATGTCTGACAACGTCAGGAGCTGCTGAACCTTATGCCTAGAATGCAAGGATTCTGCTTAAGAGTTGGGGATGTGGGGAACGATTGTTGGGATGGAGCCTTGGAAGACATTTGCTTTCAAGTCACGATTTATGATGGGACCACTTCCTCCAGCTACCTACAGGTTCAGCTCCCAGGTGCTCCGATTCTTTTGAGTTTAGAGCAATTTAGGGTTCGGATGGGTTTAGGGCATCAACCCTATTTGTGGTATGACAGAAATAAGAATACCAATGACAGGTCTGTCTAGTTCATGTTAGTCGGTATTTGGTCTCTATGGCAGGATCGGGGGTTCTAGGAGATAGGGCTTCGGGTTCAAAGCTTGCTTGCCTGGAAGCTGAACTACTACAACAGATTCGTGATTACTATGTCTGCCATCAGAGTTTCCGATCAAGTTGCCTATGTTAAAGACCTTGTACTTGCTGTCCCTTAACCGAAAGATTTGGCATGGATGGATGGGTTGCTGTTAAGGAACTTATTTTAAGTTACTATATTGGGGAAACCCTATTATTTACTATATATACCCATTATGGTAACTTAATTTAATGTTTCAAAGCTCGGATCAAAACCACTGTACACAAAACCCTGTCCCTATCTGCCTCGCAACTTGGGATGCTACCAGTGAAAAATACACAGCTTTAGAGAAATGAACACAACTATATTAGTTTTGGGTTTAGGGGGTTTACGGCTTAGGGGGTTTAGGGTTTAGGGGGTTTAGGGTCTGGGGGGTTTAGGGTTTAGGGGGTTTAGTAATATGCACTCCTGGCACAGCTATAGGCTATAGACTCAAGCCCCACATGCGCCAAACCCGGACTTCACGCTGGGGTTCTCAAAGCAGGGGTGAGAATCTCAGCCTCAGAACGTAATCCGATGTTCACAGTGAACCAAAATTCTAAAAAAGGATTTCAGTTTAGGGTTTAGGAATTCTTTACTCCAAACCCTTAACATGTAAGCCTAAACGCCCCGGCGCGCACCTGAGGATCCGTCAGACCGTTGCCGACACCCAAGCCTCAGGAAGGTTCCTATGCTGCAGCCTAGCACAACTAGGACAATGCATGTGCTTCTCAGTGCGCTCCCTTAGCCTAGTCTTAGGATGTTGTTGTCAACACAATAATAGCTGTAGTGAGAATAGTAACAACAGAAAAACGGTAATGTTTTTATTGATTGCGAATATTATTGTTATCATTGTTGATATTCATATGATTGTGAACAGTAATCTTTGGCCTCAGGCTTTCTGCAGAGACCTGTCCATCCAAAACCTCCGAAACCAACGCCGCAAACCTCTGAAGCATCATTCCCTCAACCCAAGAGGAAAAGCTGCAGGGTTTAGGGTTTAGGGTTTATACAAAAACCAGGGCTCCAAAATGGCCTAACGTAGGTACGATTTATAGGCATTGGGGCCCAATGTAGGTATTTTCTATAAGAACCCTAGCCCTAAACCCTAAACATGAAGCCCCCAACAATGAACCGGGGCATCCAAAAAACGATACACTCGAAGGCAAGGCATGTTGCGGCGCTTAATATGAGTTAGGAGGACCCCCCACCCTGTAATAGTGGTATAATAGGAATATAAGAGGGCCCTAATATAATCCCTATTATCCCTTATAGTCACTATTACTGGGTGGGGGGTCCACCTAAAGTATGAGCTTCGAAGGTCCAGGTTTGACAGTCCAGGGCTGTAGAGGCGTGCAATGGGTTTACTGGGTTGCCATAGTATCTCCCTATAATGAAGAATGAAATGGAAAAGAAAATGAACAAATGAAAACTGGGTGAATTTAGAGGCTTAAGGAATTTAATTTAAGTTACTGTATTGGGGAAACCATATTAATCACTGTATATATATATATACACACCCATTATGGTAACTTAGTTTCAGTTCTTTAACAGCAACCCGGTTTAGGGCGTGTATAAGCTTATATCCCCTATAAATAATATAGTAACTTCCATTTTCTTTTCCATTATTCCTATGTAGCCCCTATATTGAGGCCTTCGGGCGTCGGGTGCCAGGTTGCGCTTGCAATGTCCTACGCGGGGAGAACTGTCTTCTGACCCTCGAAGGAATGCCATGCAATCAGTAGACCTACAGTCCCCCTTATGTAGATAGAATATGGGGTATAGGGGGATCTTATTATGGTTTTGGGAATTCCATATTCGATCTACTTAAGGGGCACTCTAGGCTTGCGCAAGACAATTGACCTACGGGCTGCTACTAGGCAGTAAGGCAATGTAATCCCTATATAATCCCTATATAATGCATTCCCTTTTTCCCTACTAACTCGCAGTAAGATGGTTGGTGCGCAGCATCCAGGAAGGCTCCTAGTATGCCTCTTGAAAACCCCTATAGTAGTCCCCTCTAGACTCCCCTACCCTAAGCCCTACACCCTATATAACCCCCGTTTAAGGAGTTTAGATGATAGCTCATGTAGACATTGCGGGAAGGTTGTTTCCTATCCCTGAGGCTCCAAAGACCCAGATAATAGTTTAGGGTTTAGGGCAATAGGGTTTTAGGGCCCAAATACTCTATAGTATTAATTGTATTTGGTCCCTAAAGCCCTATTATTTGGGTCCTTGGACCCTTAGGGTATATCAGTGACTCCGAAGGGACCTCGGGACTGAACTGAAGGGTCTCACCATGAGTTTCCATGCTACTATTACTATTGTTGTCACTACTATTAGAGGCTTTTGGGCACTTCCCAAACCCAAAAGTAAACCTTAATCAAACCCTAAAGATCACATGAGCTACTGTCTAAACTCCTAGTATCCCCCTTAATAACCCCTATAGTAGTCCCGTATATAATCCCTTATATAACCCCTCCTTAAGGAGTTTAGACTATAGTACACATAGCTCAGATCCAGGGTTTAGGGTTTAGGATTTAGGGATTAGGGTGTATAGAGTTTAGCGTCTCAAGATCACATGCGCCATACTCTAAGCGCCTTGAAGGGGGGTTATCTAGAGGATTACATATGGGGAGTATTCAAGGGGTTATTAAGGGGGATACTAGGAGTGTGGACTATAGATCACGTAGCTCAGAACTATAAGGCTTTCTAAGGTTTCAGGGTTTAGGGAGGGTTTAAGTTTTGGGGTTTAGGGAAGGTTTCGGGTTTGGGGTTTAGGCTTTCAGCTTAGGAATTCAAGGTCTAGAAGGGTCAGGATATTTGCCGCACAGTAAATTAAGCCAAGTGGCTGTTGAGCTTAGACAAGAGACCGTACTTGCAAAATGTCCGAGGGTTGGTCAACAGACTCTTAATTAAGTGTGCAAGCAGAAAGAAAGAATTTCTATGCGGTGCCACCTGTCATCTTCTGTATATATATATATGGTAGTTTCCCTAAATAGGGGGGCCCCAATATAGACCCCCAAATACTATACTTTTTTTTAAGGGACCCCCGAAATGGTATCTCTAATTTTGGGTCATCCTCATACATATTTACATGTACACCCACACCTCTCTTGAAATTTGACACCCTCGACCCGCAAGACTTGAAGTCCCCCAATGCATTATATCTGTGAGAAGAAACATCTAACAAGGTAAAACATGGGAGCAGGTGTTCGTAATGGGGGGGGGAAGGGTTAAAACAGAGGCGGTGCAGGACTTCGGCTGCTGATGCTTTCTTTTTTGATGTTTTTTTTAGAATGGGCCTTTTGGGGACTGTAGAGATATGTGGGGCAGCGCAATGCGGATGACGGTGCTCCTTCTTAAGATGTTACAGGCGCAACTACGAGAAGGTCTCAGATCTCAGGGCTCAAAAATGGATTGTCCTCATGTAGACTCATTCTCAAGCAGATGAAAGATGTGAATCCGTGAGAGCTTTCAAAGGTAGGTTCCTTGGCTGTAGGCAGTATGACTTTACAAAGGGACAAGGGGACAGAAACCTGTCACGGAACTAACTGAGCTTCCAGAGACCTTCAAGCAGTGCTCCACCGCCTATCGCTGTTCAGGCTAACTATAGCCCTCATGGGTGTGGTTGCAAGTGAGCACTCTCCTTGCTGGGATGTAGAGCTTGCCACTCTGGATCTGGTGGTTCAAAGCCGTTCAAAGCCTAACTCCAGGGGTTTGGGTTTGGGATATGGGGTTTGGGGCTACGCATCATGGGTTCACGAGACGCCCCTGAGTCTGGGACTCAGAAAAAAATCAGGGCCTCAGATGTTCAACCAGGCCGCTGTCCAAGGTGAGTCGTCTGATACCAACCCACCGTGTTTGAATCGACGTTGACCTGCCCAAGCTGCACGTCTTGCTTGCACGTCTGCTTATTGGAAAACTTGTGGAAAAACATCATAGTCCATAAGGGTTGTTCTCAAAATTATGGGGCCCCTTTGGTTATAGGTTACATTACGACCCCTAATACTTAGGGGTACCAAAATGGGACCCTAATTTTGGGAGCTACCCATGTGTCCATGTCGGCTGCAAGCCTAGGCTTTGGAAGAGTCCAACATGCGGGGTGTCATCGTACGTGAGCTATAGTCTAAACTCCTAGTATTCCCTTTCATGACCCTTCTAATACTCCCCTATATGTACTTCCCCACGGAGTTTGGACTGTAGCTCACATGCGCCGACCCTGTCAGAATCTTCAAGTTCATTTTTTTTTGTTTTTACGTTCAGGCTACTTACAGGTAAAGACATCAACCAGGACCCTCGTGGTACCCTTACATAGGGGTATGTGGTCCCTATTCCTGGATATTTACGGTAGATAGAGGCGAGGTTAGATGCAGGGTCTAGGAAGACATGTATGTAGTTGCACCTAACGGTAAGTGGCAATCTACGGGCCTGAATAATTATAGTCCCCCTTAAGTAGATAGAATATGGCTTTGGGTATCTTATAATGAGATCCCCATATACACCATATTCTATCTACTTAAGGGGGACTATACCAAAACCGGTTTGAGGCCATTACAGTTACCCTATACCATGATTAGGCCGCGAGGAATCTAGGATGTCTATTCAGCCTTCTACGTTACATAACCCAAATAAACCCCCATACACGCCCACCTTCCATGTGAGTATCCCCTTTCTTGCCTGTTTCATCTTCCAAAATCATTGGATAAAACCTCTCAACCCCCAATCTTGGTAAATATCCAGGCTTCTACCCTAAACCCCTAAACCAACGCTGAACCCTAAACATCATTAAATCCTATGGACAACCTGGAGAACAGAGACTGGTTTCCAGGTCTGGATTGTTGGGCGCCCTGAGCCCTACACCTTGAACCCCCCAAGGAGGAAACACAGGGTTTCGGTTTAGGATTTAAGGTTGAGGGCAGTCCAGAATGTCTCAACAAGGCTTGGGGTCTTGGTGGAGGCTTACATGTTGGTGGGCCTGAAAGTGCTTCTTTCGCAACATGAACAGCAAGCAGAACCCAAAGAAGAGCTAGGGCCCGTAGGCATCGGATCGTAAGGGCCAGGTAGTGAATTGCACCAAAGAAGTAGGGCACGGCAATTGAGTTCTGGTCTTCCACGAAACTGAGCACAAGACATCCGGCATACAGTGGAGCCGTTGTGAACAAAGTTTTCCGGAGCAGTCAGTGGGTCAGTCAGTCATCACTTCTCAAACCGTCCTTCCTAGATAATACTTTATGGTACCATATAATGCTGCATGATACTTTACAATACTACCCTAAGGCCCAAAACAGCCCAAACGCCTTCTCTAGTTTTTGGTCCCAAAAGCCTCAAATTCTGAGTCCTTACAGCCTTAGGGCTATACAATACTATACAATACTCCTTCCCCTTCCTAGATAATACTATATGATACTGTATAATACTATATAATACGATATAATGCTATACAACACTGCACTATACTCAACCTGAAGCTCTACACAGCCCCAAACAGACATGAACCCACCAAAAGGCCTTGGAAGACGAATATGCTTCGAAAAGGGGCCCGAGGTGAGGGTAATGGATGCGACTTCCTAAACAAGGGGTCCCCAGTTATATGGCGCAAGAAATGATAATCCTCACTATAGGGTCTCCAAAAGAAGCGCCCCCAACTTCTAGAAACCCCTACTTATTCTGTATAAAGCCAAACCCTAAACCCTAAACCCTAAACCCTTTACTCTCAGCCCTGAGTCAAGTCCCGTGGACATGTTGCTGAGGGAAGAAAGCTTGCATCTCTACTTCCTCGAAATTGTAACTCCTAAGCGTGTTAGGACTGGGGCTTTGCGGTGGTTGGTAGGGATTGAAGGAGCCGGACGCAAGGGTCATTATTACGGGCTTACCTGGGAATACTTTTGAATAAGTTCATCCAGTCCCCTGCAAGTCATTCGTCCTTTTTACCCTACGAACAAACAGGATCCTTTGCTACAAACTCTCCCTATTACCACTGCTCCTTGGGCCGTAATGGGCTTTGTAGGGGGAGGTTAAGGTTCTGGGGGCTAAGGTTTGGGATGCCACTATGGGGGTCCAAGAGCCTTAGGGTAAAACCCTAAGCCCCAAACCCCAAACCCAAGCCCTAAACCCCAAGCCCCAAAGCTTATGAGTCTGCAAGAAGGCCTCTCGCAGCTTCCTGAGCGTGTCCATCTGGAACTGGACACCCTGGCGGTGTCAATTGGGGTCATGGCTTATGGCATTGGGGTTAGGATTTAATTAGGGGGTAGGGAGTAGGGCCTCACATGCAGTATAGGCGGCTGCCCGTTTAGAGCTCGAGGGCCTGTGCTTTCAACCTCAGACTTGGCATGCGGGATAAGGCTTGAGACTTTTAAGGGCTAAGGGCTTCAAAGGTATGGCTGCCTCTTACAGGATCCTAGGGTTTTCAGGAATGAAGGCATAGACTTCAGGGTCACATGAGCTATAGTCTAAACTCCTAGTATCCCCCTTAAAAACCCCTATAATACTCCCTGTGAAATCCCCTATATAACCCCCCTTACTGGAGTTTAGACTATAGCTCACATAGGGTTTAGGGTTTTTGGAGACCGTCTGGAGGTGACATTCCACGGCCTCTTGAATGTCAGACTCCCAGCAACCTGCTCAATTTGGAAGATTTCAGAAACATGGATCCTCATGATCTAGTTACTCACTCCAAAAACTATCATCCTCGCTATAAAGAGCACCAAAGTATTATCTTGAGACCACTATTTTTTGGTCCATTGTGCAGCATGACAACATCCGGCCAGAATGAGATCTTGCCTCGATGGGCTGGAGGCTACATGTGAGTTCCTCAAAACTAGTAGTAGAGAAACCTTAACAGATCCTTCTGTACCTCCTGTGAATCTCTAGGGTCCCAAGACCCCCCTCCCTTCTTTCACCTGGCTCTGCGAGGAAGCTGTTGGCCTTTGCCGCCTGAACCTTTGCTTCGAAGTATCGAAGCTGTGTTGCCTAAACCCTAAACCCTAAACCCTAAACCCTAAACCGCATGCTCTAGGACATGGCCAATCCTGCGAAGGCTCGTCCTATGAGGGACACGGCCTTGAAACTGATGCAGGAGCTGCACACTAAAGGGACTTACTGGGAACCCCAACAGGGAACCCCAAGAACATACTAGGAAAATACCTACCAGGGTCCTTATATTCTACGATGTTCCTACCATATTCTTGGGGTTCTCTGTTTGGGGTGCGCAGAAGAACCCTTTTACACACAAGGCCTGTGACACTTAAAGCGAGTTGAGCCTGGTCGTAAGCACGCTGGCTGAGGATATCGAAGCGAGTGAATAGCTCACCGACATTCTCGTAAGACTGGGTTGCTGTTAAGGAACTTAATTTGGGTTACTATTTGGGGAAGCCCTATTATTTACTGTAGATACATATATATATATATAGACATTGTGGTAACACAATTCAAGTTCCCTAACAGCGACCCAGAAGAAACTCCCACATTGCTGAGGGCGCCAAATCCACAAACCGCAGCTTCTCCGTCGCTGACTGGTAATACAGGCAACCTGACAGTTTAGTGCACTAACTTGAAACAAGACCCTTGGGCGGAGAATTATCTGTATACATCGCCATATAAAATGCGTTGCCCAAAAGGAGGATATCATATAGCTGCAAAGAACGATATCATAGAGTTTTACTCTCCACTAGGGACTGTAGTACCCAACCCTAAACCCTAAACCCTAAACCCTAAACCTTACCTGCCTTCAGAATGCTGCTCAGCTGGGTTGTGGCCAGTTTTGGTCATTGAAATCTACCCAGAATAATCGAGTTCGGGGTTAGGTTTAGGGGTTTAGAATTTGGAGGTTTACGCTCAACCCTAAACCCTAGACCCTAAACCCCAGACCCTAAACCCTAAACTTTAGGCTAGGTTCTAGGGTTCAGGTCGGCTCGTGGATTTTTGATTTAGCATTACTTGCGAGTTTCTCGCAATGATTACCTGCAGTATCCCTAAGGGGGCACCACAGGGTTTAGGGTTCAGGGGTTAGGGTTTAGGGGTTTCGGGTTTCCTTATAGTTTGGGTCAATCTCCCACACAGTAATGGGTACCACAAGGGACTACTGTAGGTATATGCCCTATTAAATCCATGTTAAGGAGCCATTACTATGGG